AGATTGAACATTTATAATTATTAATTTTGATATAAATAATTTTCATAACATTTTACTTCATATCCAATGATTAAATTTTTTTTTAAATTTTTTTGGTAATTTTTTGATGAGTTTAATTTGGTAAAAATTATGGTAAGAAAAAAAAATCAATTGTTAATTATGTCAAAATTTTAGCTTCAATGAATGATTAAAATCTTAAAAGTTATTAGATCTTTTTATGCAATTTAAATCATTGCAAAAAATCAAATGAAAACTAATGAATATAGATTGAAGTGCAACAAATTTGAATTTTAGCGTTGCAAAGTTGATAAAAAATATTCCAAGATTTATCCTTTTGAAATTAATTTCAAAAATATTTCAATTAATTTGAACTTCATATATATATAATAAAGACATAATAATGCAATAAACATCAAAACAACAAAGAAATTGATGTCAAATTAGCTTGTCACTAATAGTAGATTAAATTGTCACATTTGCACATTTGCATTTATAATATAGAAATTTTTCTGCAAACAATTATTTTAGCATTCATCACATGATATAAATCATGTGATGAATGTTAAAATAAAACACATCATACATCATGTATGAGATAGGTTGTGATCAGTCAAATAAAAATAGATTAAAAAGTTAGGTATTTAGCTTAAAATCTATATATCTTACACTTGTGTTGACAAATATTTTTCAATATTTATCGTGAAAATTTTTTTGTTATCATTTTTTTAATTATAATGTATTATTATAAATTGTCATTCAACAATCTGTGTGCTTGGTAGATAAAGATTAATTGTTTTAGTTGAGAATGATACGTGATCATTTTGTGTGCTTGTTAGTATTCTGTCATGTCACTAATTTACTAGTAGTCAAATGAAAGGCGTAATTTTAATCTCAATTCCTTGTACTTGTTGATTGAATCTATATAAGAGAGAAAAATCCTTGTAGATATCTTTCATCTTAAAATTTAGTATTTTAATTCTAAATAAACTAATATGTTACTTTCTAATTTACAATCGTATCACCTTGTAAGTTTTTCATATAAATAAGAGAAGAGCATTAAGTTATTTTTAGAAATGATTTACTTCTATTTCATTTTGATTATTGCTTAAGTTAGTTAAAAACATAACTTATGATAAATTTCACTCTTATATAATCTGTCAAATTTTCATATAACTTTTGAGAATTATATTTTCAAAATATGAATCAAATGAAATCCTTTTTGAAGTTTATTTACATTGTGAGTACAATTATTGGGTTTATAATTATCAGTTGATCAAATTAGCATGAAATTATGTGAAAGACTTGATTGTAATTATCTATGAAAAAATTAGTATTTTTGTCAAAAATATGTTTTGAATAAAATATTTTATTAATATTGTTTATAAATTTTGAATGTCTTATGTGAATTGGATGTTTAAACATTTGCATCATGAATACATCGTACTCATCTTGAAAACTTAATCAAGTTGTGGAGTGTTCATTCATTTCTTAGCATTACAATTTTAACATCAACATGCCAATAGTTGTAGAAAAATCATAATTTGGATTGACATGTGATTAAACTGATGAGTAATTTTTATGATTGCCAAAAATCTTAATTATATGCTTTTACCTGGAAGAAAAAACCTTCTAGAATCAGAATAACAAGTATACTTTTGTAAATAAGAATGATTCCTTGAAATAGTACAATTGTAATCATGGCTAAAGTTACTTCAAAACTTCTTTTGAATACAGTTTCAAGTTATATATAGCCTAGCTGCAATCTCAATGTTTCAATTGTAATAAGATTGATTTCTAATGTGGATGCATTCATTATTAGTATGATATTATTATCAAAGCTAGTACTATCAACTTTGATAATATTATCAAAACCATTAATATTAGCCGTAGCTTTGGGTTACTTATTTGGTGATAAAGGATTGAATGAAAGCACTTCCATCTGAAATCGGTTTTAAGATGTTGGTAGTGATTATGTAGATAGAGTATCCAAGTATGTGATAGAGCTTGAAAAATAACATGAAGATATATGTGGAAATGTATATGTATGATATCATATTGTGATGTTTTGGAGATAAAATATATTGACAAGCAAGAGAGCATTTTATGGAGGTATAGGCTTGTAGAATCTTAAAGTACTATCATGTGAAGTTGAGATTGCTTGGAAGTTGTTTTCATATTTTGAGCAAGTGCAATGTGTTGGTGTTCAACCAATTGATTGCCATAGTTGACTCGTTCGACAAGTGAAAAAACAATGAGCAAAAATGACAAGACAATTGTCAACTTATGGAAGCTTGAAGTCGCTAAACAAGTGTAAGTGGATAAACAAGATTGCAAGACAAGTATCGATAGATGATGATGATGATGAAAAATGGAAGAAAGACAAAACTGATTAATTAATCAGTTTTGATCAATAAAAAGAGTTGTCAAACAAGTTATATGAAAATTCCAAATGATTGATGACGGATTGTTTCATTGCAATTGGAATTAGATCTTAAAAAAGAGTAACTGACTCAAGCAAAAAAACCTAAAAGAGTGTTTCATCGGAATATTCTGAGCATTTGCAAAACATTTTTTTATGTGTATGCTACAATGTCTACAATCATAGTCAATCTTTGTCAAGATAAATATAAAATTGATTTTCTTTTAATCAATTTGATTTGATTTTGAATTCATGCTTATCAATAAGTTATTCACTTGTATGCATATTTGCAAAAAATCTATCTTATTAGTATCATAGAAATACTATATAGGTAAATAATCAAATTATTAAGATTCGTATGAATGAATCAAAACCATGTCAAACATATTTTTTTTTAAACATCAATAACTTATACAAATTTAAAAATTTGAATGCATCAAATTTCAAAACATGCAATTTTTGCTAGAGCAACATCAACAAAGAGTTATCAGAATTAGAAATAAAAAATTATGTCTGGATAGATAAAAGCAAAAATCCTAGAGCTTGCAGAATAAATGTTACATCGATGTATATTATATATCTCTAATTCATGAGTAAGAATATAGATACAAAAACTATTGTCATAATTCATGCATCACAACGCCCTCTTTACAAAAAAACGTAAAAGTTTTTGAACATGAAAAAAAATGTCATTCGATTCATACATCCTAAGATATATCTATTTGCAATCATAGAACTTAAAGATAACAAATTTTTGAAATGTACCAACTGGATAGAAATTTCATCACATTAGTTACAAGGTGCAAAAAGGTGGCGAGATAAGACCATGTGCATGCTGAGACTATGTGCATGCAATTTCATGCTGGCTATATCTTTTTTAATTAAGTACTCTTCAATAAATAAAATTTCTTACTGTTTATGAAGCATCATAAATTATATGTATAAAGATAGATGACTGCAATTTTCACATGCTTTTGAGATATGTCTACTTAGTTGTACATGAAGCATCAAAAAAACATTGTTTATGAAATTAGAATATGACTTCATTGTTCATAAGCTTTCGAGAGATATCTAACCATACTACAGGAATGGTTATTTTCTAAAACACATTTCTCCAAAGTTGTTCTCAGAGTTGAGATTTTTGTATTTCATTCAAATGGTTGTGAAACACGTAACTATATGGAAAGAGACCCTAGGGAGATAGGTTCAAAGCATGTACTCAGTTGTTAAAGCAAGAGAGTGTCTGGCATAGCACCTTACGGGGCATGGAGAGCAGGTCAGAGAAGAGTGCAGAGATAAGATTTGACTGAAATTCTTGAGTGCAGAGGAAGTGAGGTGCTCCGTTGCTTCCAACAATGTCTCCCGGGTCGTTTGACTCCTACTAATCTTCGCGGTGTCCTTACTGATAGCCATTGTGTATCTCTGGCATATAATAAGCTTCAGAAACTCGCATAGGACGCTGGAAGTGAACATCACTCTATGGAACAAAGGTTGGAGTGAAAGTGAAATAGAACATGATGATGTGTTTAGACTGATCAGGCTTAGAAGATCACTCGAAGTGTCACAAAGATCAGAATAGGGCAGGCCTCCTATATTCTGGGATTTGTGAACAAAATCCCAGAATTAACCAAAATTAAATCTTGATCATAAATGAAAGTGTTGTTTCGAAACAATAGTTCAATCCGAGACAAATTTGTCTTTGTCACAAGTATTCTTCGTAGATAAATCACACTCTCATAAATCCCCTAGAACCACACAGGAGTAACACAATTATGGAAGTAAAATCTAGACCAAATTCATAATGGTTTGGAGTGACAGCTTGCGTATGAACTGTATTTTTTAATTACGATAATTAAAAAAAGTAGAATTCAGAATTTAAGTTAATGCCTGGAATACCTTCTGAGGAACATTTCAAAGGTGGACTGACCAAAGCCAAGCCTGGAATAGGGGCCTATTACAAAGTGCATGTCTTCGGTAAAATCTGTTTCTGAGGAACATTTTAAAGGTGGACTAACCAAAGCCGCACTGAGATGCCAGTATCGATTTGTTATTCGAATTTTTAACATCTCTTCTTCATTCCAAGCAACTTGATTTTCATTTTCCACTGAGTTCGTCCGAACCTAGGAGGCGGTCTTCTCCTGGCCAGAAGATTGCTGACGTTCGTGATTTGTTTTCGAATCTACTTTTGCATGTTACGATAGACAAAGAGGTATCAACACACAATGAGTCACTGCGCGAAAATTCCAACAAACTTCATACAGCTTTCATTTACATACAAGCAGCACGGAAAGAATATATTAATTAATTGCTCATAGGACGCGTGGCGTAGGACCAAGAACATAAAAAGTGCACTACCTGCACTTGCCCCAAAAGTCTTCACTAAGTCTCAAGTGGATGCCTGATTTAACCTCACTGTAGACCGCAAGGACCGCAAGGACTGCATTCACTGAAAGTTTTTTCACCATCTCTGCTCTTTCCTTGATATTGACTTTCGACTCGTTTTGAAGCTTCTTCAGGACTTTCTTGTTGAACCCATAGAGCTCATCCTTGTCCATATAATATATACTCAGGCTGACAACGTCTCGCAACGAGTGAGTTCTCGTCTTGGACAACTCTCGTTCCATAGTTTTGGTAGACTCGAATGGATCTAACACGCACAGGTCCGTGTGGAAGGTCTGTCATGCTCTTGATTCAACATGCTGGAAATCCAACATGATGCTTTCATGACATGTGTCATGAATGTCGATTGATCTCAGGATAATTTTCATACAGTTACGGCCACTTCGATGTTTCAGTTTATTCTAGTTATGTCAAGCGCTCGTTTGGTTGGACTCACCTGAATGCCAGATCCGGTTGAGGCGTTGCGATGGCAGTAGTTGCGATGGAAGTAGATCCTGATACGCTCCTATTCACGCAAGACTCGATAGCTGTTCGTTTCAAAAAGCCATATGAGAAGGAGAAGATCGATGATGCAGTGATTTCTATATTAAATGGGGCGGTGCGAGTATCAGAGTTCAAAAGAATGCGGGTGGTTGATCATGAAGGGCGACTGTGGTCACTCGACAACAGGCGACTGTGGGTATTTAAAAAAGCGAAAGTCCGGAAGATTGTGGTGGACGTCGTTCCTTTCCACAGGAATCCTCGTATCGCCGAGGTGATGCAAAACCCGGAGCTCAAGATGAAACTTTTAAGGACCGGCTTCTGGCCACAGGTACGAGGCAAATGTAAAATGTTCTTCAAGCCGACCAAGCGAGTCAGTCACGTCCCTGCAGCGACAAAGTATCGGGTCGAGGAGAGACAACCGAGTTATATTCAAATTCCAGCTGAGCTGCCTGTCATCCGCAGGCCAGAATCTTTTGCGGACGATGGCCAGAATCGGACCAACTGGCCTGTTACCCACGAACCCGACGAAAATAATCACGAGTCGGAGAGGAAGAAGGCTGTGACTCTTGTCATCATCAGTTCTGCGCTGACGATAGCAGCTTTGGCCCTCGCTTCCGACGAGAGTCGAAGAAGTATCGTCAATTCGCTATCCAGTGCGATGAAAGTGACGTTTCTGGATATTATTCCAGCTCTTGGCCGTTGGACCGTGAGGAAATTTTGGCAAACGCTGCCTCGAGTCCCGCCGCCGTTTGTGGCTTAGTGCAATCTAATGATGCATCCTTCAATTGCGATTGCCCGTATCTATCGATTGCCCGTAGTCACACTCACTCCCTTTGTGCACTCAGGCTTTGTTCGATTGCAGTCCAGTTCAGGACGAGGAGGCGACCCTCCGACGATCTTGACTTGCTCGTTTCTCGAGTGAGTGAACTGGTTCTTTAGACTTACTCAGATCGAGATGTCGAGAGAAAGATATTGGTCATGGTTTGGTGTTACTTGCTGTTTCTCTTGACTACTGATATTCAGGAAACGCTAAACTTTGGGAAGCCAATATGTTGTTTCCCGACTGATTCACGGAAACAATCTGATAGCACATCACACTAGTACACTGTTGTGTTACTTTTGTTTCTATACAGCTTAACATTTTCTTTTAAACTATATATTTCATCGAGAGATTCTCGAAATAACTTGTGATTTTCCCATCAATAAAAAAATTTTAACGTCTTATAGCAATTACGGTTTTGATGAGTATGATTACAAAAGAATGAATTTAATCATTTTTATATAAATATATAATCTTTTATTATGAGGTATATTATAAATATGGGCTCTAGACTTTTTTCACTAGAGAACGGCCCTTGCTATTGGCTGGATCTTAAATCTTAAGATTCCAACAATGACTTTTGAATGGTGATCCGAATGTCCCAATCAATTTTCGTCAGTAACGATTGTATTCCCACCGTGACGTCATTACAAACCCTTCCATCCTAGCCATTTCACATTTCATAAAAAACGCGAGTGCACCAATTGACGGTAGATCATGGTTGTGTTCCAGATCTAGAATCGTTATTGCCCATAACGTTATTCCGCCATCTACTCGAGTCGGAACAAGGAAATACAAGTGGGAAGTAGGAGAGAACTCTTTATTTGAAGACGGAAAGCTTACCGTGAATAGAAATCACCCTATGATATGTTAAGATTTAAAATCAAGCCAATCGCAGGAGTACGTTTTTGAATAAAAACATGTCCAGCGCCGTCTCTAGACATACTCAATCTATTAGTATATATTATTGTTTGATTTGATATTTAGAAAATAATCAAAACCCAAAATATATATACAGTTGGTTTTCTTAAGTTTCAAGTACTATTTTTAGATAAAATTACTTGATAAAACCCATCCTGAATGCAAAATACTTCACTAGTACCTTGACGATTCATTTTATCTGATGGATCACTACTACGGCACAGCCTGATCCATGTTCCCACAAGTTCTTGTAACGTGGATGCTCGCTTTAAAAAATGCTCATAGTGTGAACATATTGATAGATTTAGTAGAAAATATTAGCAAAAGATCATTTGGAGAATTGGGATTTGGAGAATAAATTATCTGGCGTGTTAATAATTTTAGTTTATTTTAGTAACTTACTAATATATTCTGGCAATGTTGCATTCCCCATAGCATGAAATTTGTGAATTCTAACATCTCGACTTGACTCGTTGATCCAACACAAGTAGCTACAATGGATTGTACTTTTTCCGACCCATCGTATAACAATCTATGGTTGAACTCACAATTTGTATGATTTATGTTGTGATGATCAAATTGCATGATCAAATCATTCTAGAACAGAATATGGAGTTATATTCTAGACCTCCCCTCTTTTTTATAAGCCTTTATTTCTATAGGCTAATGTCACAACACTATCAACAATCTTCCATTTGACCGCGTGATATTATGAGTCACAACACTATCAATCCAAGACGAGATCAAGAGTTGGAATTGGATCAACATGGGCTGATCTCCATTTCAAGCTCCCTTCTAAGAACAACTGAAATATATCGTTGAACTTGCAATACAAGATCTCCTAGATGATAGTGGACTGCAAGTCGTGGTTTTTGTGATATATTTTCTCTTCAGATCACCGTGTAAATTCCTGCTTACATTTCCATAGATAAACGTTTCCTAAGTCATTGTGATCGATGAGCACGATTTATATGATACAAAAAAGGGGATCAGCTTACCTTCTTGGCATCCCATCTTCGCTTTGCTCGCATGTTCGCTTTTGTTCTCAGATTCGTAACACTGTGACTTTCGTGACTTTCACGGTGTTAAGAATGGAGGAATGGTTCCGCTATCATGACCATTGGTTTGCACTGGCACATATTCAAGACGTCAAGTTTCTCTTCAGAGCATGTGGGCACACGAGTCCATACTCAACGCTGTAGCCAGTAAGGTAGAAGATTTGAAGAATAAATTATGATTGTAATCAGTCTACCTTACTACCTTAGGCACTGAGAGATTATTTCCAGTTTCACCATCTAGCAAGCTCAATGACATTCAATTCTTTGGAAAGAAATGCACACGCGATAATGCATTCATCAAGCGAGAGCCACGCATACGGGAATACCGTATGCAATACATCCATCAACAGCATTCCTGGTTAAACTGGGTGCCTAAATTTCCTAAATTAGACCTTAGTTTAGGTGGCGGTGTGTAAATGTGAGCTTTATTAGAGCTCAAGACCAAGCAGCTCCAGCCCCACAATGGGATGATGACCAGGGAGAAAGTAGTTCTAGAAAGAGACACCAAGTATCAGCAGTGAACAAGAGTTTTTAGTTTTTAATCCAAACTGCGTCATGGAATAATTGATGATCTACACATAAATCATTATGTGAAAGATAATAAACTTGATTAAACAATTGTTAACACACTGAAATTATACAAAGCAACTAGTCTAATCAAAACTACTAGTAAGAAGCACATCTACTGGTGATTAATTGGATGATAGGTTCCTAGCATTAATCAACATCTGGATGATAACGGCGATCAACCGGATGATAGATACCTAGTGTTCATCTACATCTGGATGATAGCAATAGAATAATCATCCAACACTCTTGTCTTATTCTAAAGCTGCCAGATTGTGAACATGTACTAATCAGAGAGCTTCGCAGGAAGCAAAAACTCAGGGTGCTTCAAACTTGCTACTACTCAAAGCTTTTGTGAACAGGCTGATCTTTTATGCGTATGTATTCAACAGACTTATCACGTAACTCCATCATTTGTCGACAGAAGTGCGATACAACTTCAAAATGTTTAGTTCTATCATGAAAAACATGATTGTTGGCTAACTTTATAGCAGTCTAATTGTCAACACCAATCTGAATCGAATTTGAAAAATATCATCCAATTTTGTCTAGTATTTTTTGAATCCAAATTGCTTCCATTGGGCATAAGTTTAATGTGCGATATTCGGATTTGCAATTGGAACAGGTAGTGAAACTCTATTTTTTGGGGTCTCACAATATTGATAAGGATCACAAGGTGCATAGCTAGACGTCAGTTGAGATGCGTTCGTCCAGATTTGCCGTGTAATTGACATCGCAATTTCCCTAAACATTCTCATCCTCCCCATTTATGTAGAAAATGTCATATGAATGTATCTCAAATGACTTTAAGCTAAGTTAAGAAGATTTTAACAACTACGAGATAAAATTTTGGGATTCATGCATGTTCCTATTTGCCTGATTGGTTGCAAATGCAATATCAGGTAGCGTACGCGTTAAGTACAAGAGCTTTCTAGTGAGGCGTTTGCAGAGCGTTGAGTCCATAGGAGGAGTCATTATCTCACGTCGAAGTTAAACATCTTCATTGAGCAGAATAAAACTTGGTTGCCATTCCAAGAAGAAAATCTTGTTCAAAATGTACAAAGTGTAGGACTCATGTTGAGATAGCAAGCCGTGAGGATGTCGGATAAAATTGATGAGATCCAGGTCTGTGATCTCCGGGCTGAATTTCACTCAGATGATTTTTTGATAACTCATCATGGTTCTAGAAAGCAAGGATTACTCAATGTGCATGCGTCTCAAACACCTATACTCACAAACTATTCATTCATCACTTCAATCAATCACACATCAATACTAAGAAATATAGTGAAACTTAAACTAATACTCATACAATGAACTCTTAAAACTTGCTTGAGAGTCTTTTCTCTACCTCTCTACTTAACTACTTGAAAACTTAACATAGTTACGAATAGAAATTACTTTTTAACTTAAAAAAATAATCATGATAGGTTTGATTGGTTACGAATAGGTGACAACATGTCATTTGTCTACATGCCATTTGAGACTTTCAAAATTTTAAAATATCGATTTGCCACTAAGTCAATTGTAGATTTAGTCTAACTAAAATTTTTTCATTATTTAGTCAAAAGAATCAAAATATTCAAAAATATTTTTTCTTGAAATCTAGACTTTTGAAAAAAATAAAAAAGTAGTGCTCAAACAAAACTTCTAGAGATATTCTAATTATTCTACCAAATATATATAGTAACTAAATTTAGTACATAATTAGATAAACTTAATTATAATTAATTAGAATTAGTTATAACTAAGATAATCATGATCAATTTTTCAACTACTTCTAACAACTACTTCACACATACAACAACCGATCTTACAAGTGAATTAGAGCAAAGTCCGCCATAAGTGAAGTGACTAGCTCTTCTAAAATGCAGAAATTGCTACTTTTAACAACGTTTACACTAATTGTGACGTGTAGATTTATTGTGATGAGCAACAATGGTAGAGATGATGCGGATGGTCTTCAATTTAATCACTTGTGCAAATGTTTCTCCGTCTTCAATATCTTGTTGCTACTAAAAATCAAAGACAACTAACTCGGCCTTGTATCAAGGTGGTTGGCCAGGAGAATCAAACTTGACTTCAAAAATCCATCGTGCTATAATTGCACGTTAGAGGTAGCAGCTTCCACGTGTAGTTTTGTAGTTAAATGCATATTCAACATCCATTGCCGCAATCCAATTAGCATCATGACATATGTTATGGAATTGCTTGCAATTCCATGTCTCTATCCACCATATGGTAAAGTTCAATGATGACATTTGCAAACACTATTGCAAAGTAAGGATCCAAATGATGAGGAGCTTGTTGTAGTCAGCTTGATCAACGTGGCTTGTTAGAAACATTCAGAGGTATCGATTCATCTTATGATATGAGCAATGTGATAATTGATGAAGATCCATTTTTTTGGCCACAATCATGATGTGTTGAGAAAGCCAAGGAGCAGATGATAAATCAATGTACTGATAAAAGTTACGGCTTTTGTACGTGAGAGGTCGTCTTGATTCATGGTCAATTTGCAAGTTGGACCAAATTTGTAAGGAGCTGGATTTACTGACAGTTAAGTTTTTAACTCTATGACAAATGGAGCTAGACATGTGGCAACTTGAAGGGACCAATGTGAGGAGTTGCTGGATCTGTAGAAAAGCAACTTGGTGGATGTCAAGTGTCAGAAGTTGGAAGATCAATGTAGTCTACAGTTGACCAACAACATCTGCTTCATGGATAAAACTTGGAAATATGTACGTAGATGCTTGTATTGATGTAGTTGCCATTGAGTCTGAGTCTGATGGAACAAATGAATCATCATCAATGACTTCCGTTGATGATAAGTCTAATTTAAATGTTTCAATAATCTG